GACAGCACAAAGGTTAAAGTGACACATGGACCCTTGAGAACCTGTTGCTTTATCAATTATGCATTCTTTCACTGGTAGATTTATTCATTGAATTGGGAATTGTGGAGGGTTGACAAACAAGGTTATTTACTAAAGTGAGAATTGTTAAGACTTCAAAGTGAAATGGAAAAATTAAAAGTCAACTATGCTCTGAGTTTGGCTACTTTGGCCTCAATTTTGAAATTTACCTTACATTTCCAAAAAGTCTCCCGTTAGTAAATAACCCTGACATTTAAAGCCAAAATAGCTGAGCTAGAAAAATAACAAAGTTCAGTTTTATTTCCAGCTTAGCTAATTTTACATAAAGGGACACTCCATCATTAAAATGCATACTCTGTTTTCATCTTTGAAGTGTTCCTTTGCTCTCTTGGTCCTGCTCAGCCTTGTCCAGAGTAGACGGTCCTACTTCCCTTTTTGGTGAAAATTAGTGCAAAAACAGCGATTGTTGCAAATGCGCCGATCACCCAGTAGAAAAGTTGACTATTGCTACCCTATGGAAGTTGCTACATTTTGCTTAAACAATCATTCAAGTGCATTGAACCAAGGAGCTTCATTGCAGTCACCTTGATATCTATGGGGTGTTCCCAAATTCCCCTTAATCTATTCATAAAAGTGCCAATTTCTCTTGAATTTTCACAAGCAAGCTGAAGTACTTTAGGGATTTGGAGTGTCCCTTAAAAATTACCAAGCACTATCAGTAAGTAACATAATATGTCAGTAAAATATCCTTTATTGCAATGCAATGACAGGGAAAGTGTTACTTCCAATGATTTGTAATATTATGTTTATTTTTTTTATATTTAACCCCTTAAGGACCAAACTTCTGGAATCAAAGGGAATCATGACATGTCACACGTCATGTGTCCTTAAGGGGTTAAAGGGACACTATAGTCACCCAGACCACTTTATCTCATCTGAAATGGCCTGGGTGCAGAGTCCCTCTCTCCTTAACCCTGCAATGTAAAACCTAGACTGGACTGAACTAGATTGCGAAATATTTTTTCTAAATATATAATATACATTTAAAAGTAAATCACAAACATCACATTGAAATAAAAGTTAATACAAGTTATTGTGATTTTCACTGTTTCATTCAATTGTGTAATTTCCAGAGAAATGCCAGTTCCCCTTTACATTGTGTAGATTGGTGTTGATTTTGTTCTTTCCAATCTCTGTCCCCACAACTGCACCTCATTTATTATTCTTGTACCTTGTAAGTTGATAATTGGAGACTTTGTGTGGAATGTAAAATGTAACGATTTAGGACAAATTATGTTTACAAGTCATATTGTTTGATATTTGGCTCTGTCTCTTATTTAGCTGTTCTGTAAGAAAACATCATATTAGAAGGTGTGTTGACACTTAAAGAGTTTCATGTCGCTTTGTTTTTCTGTTTCCTGCGAAGAAATCCAACACATGAGACGATGACCTTCACTTCATATAATTTAGGGGTTTTGTTTTCTAAACTACGCTTAAGAAAGATTTAAGAAGGAAGTTCAAGTTAAAAAAATAAAAGTGAGGCTATTTTCAAACTGGGCTCTATTGGCCTATGGTATGCAAATCACTTTATCTTTAGGATATACAGGGCCGGCCTTAGGGGTATGTGCAAGCTGTTCGACCATACAGGGCACCATGGCAGTGGGGGCGCCATGCGGCCGACACAGCCCGCACATGCCCCGAGTGACATCTGTGAGGGTTACTCCTAAAATACATGTTGCGCTGTGTAGCGTGGCCAGGCGGCACCCGGGAGGAGAACTTCATTATCCTCCATTCGGGTCTTTCAGTGAGGACAAAGGGGCAGCAGGTGGGGGTGGGGTTAAACTGCAGGCAGGTGAGGTGCTAAATACGGTTGCACCCTCTGCCTGGTAAGTGAGGGGAGGCAGGGAGAAGACCCTGCTCTCTGACCCTCCTACCCTGCTCCCCCACCTACCCACTGTTCCCCTGCTCCCCCAGCTACCACCACTGCTCCCCAATCTACCACCTCTGTGACCCCTGCTCCCCAAGCTACCACCACTGTGACCCCTGCCTCCCACCTACCCACTGTGCCCAAATTCCCTCAGCTACCACCACAGTGTCCCCTGCTTCCCCACCTACTACCACTGTGCCTCCTGCTCCACCAGCTACCACCACTCTGCCCCCTGTCCCCCACCTACCACCACTGTGCCCTTCGCTCCCCTAGCTACCACTACACTACCCCTGCTCCCCCACCCTCCTCAACTGTGCCCCTGCTCCCTCACCTACCAATACACTACCTCTGCACCCCCAGCTACCACTAGTGTGCCTACTTCTCCCCCAGCTACCACCACTGTGCCCCCTGCTCTCCCAGCTACCACCACTTTGCCCCCTGTTCCCACAACTACCACCACTGTGTCCACTGCTCCCCACCTACCACCACTGTGCCCCCTGCTCCCCCACCTACCACTACACTACTCCTGCTCCCCCATCTGCCACCACTTTGCTCCTGCTCTACCACCTACCACTACACTACCGCTGCTCCCCCACACTTCTCCACAGTGCCCCTGCTCCCCCACCTACCACTACACTACCCCTGTTTCCCCACCTTCCTTCACTGTGCCCCCTGCTCCCCCACCCACCTCCACACTACCTTGCATGCACACTCTACTCAACTGTGCCCCTGCTCCCTCCTCCAGCCCATAATGGAAAGAGGTTACAGTCTGTCTGTAACTGTGTGTATATGTGTGTCTCCCTGTTACTGTGTATGACTTCCTGCAAGTGGGTGTATGACTGCCTGCAACTCTGTGTGACTGCCTTTAACTGTGTGTGTGCGTGTCTGTTTGTCTGTAACTCTGTGTATGACTGTCTGCCTGTGACTGTGTGTGACTTCCAGTACCTGTGTATGTGTGTGTATGACCGATAACTTGTAACTTTGTGTTTGTGGCTACCTGGGACTGTGTGCATGTGACTCTGCAAAAATACACACCTGCATTCACACAGGGGCCTACATACATTTTTATCTGAATGAAATATCCATCACACACAGCCATTAAACCACTCACAATTATCACACATATCCGATACACACATATATTACACACAGACAATATAACCATTACAAATATTAAAAAAAGCCTACACATACCATATATATCACACACCCATCACGCCTACTACACACAGACACCACACTCACTACCTCCTATTATTATGAGATTTATTACAGCAGAGCTCTGTCATACCAAATGCAATATGTAGCTGTCTTCCGAGCTCTGGCCAGTCAGAGTGTTGCTGCGGATAACCACAGGAAAGCTCTGACACTGTAAGTGGCAGACAGTTACTGATGGTCTGCACCGGGTGGAGGCGCCGTCCAGATTTCCAGCACAGGGGACCATCAGAGATCAGCATGCCTCCCTCCATGCAAGGTAACAACAGGGAAGGGGAAATACATTTTTGTTTTTAAATAATTATTAATTTAATAAATCCCATATACAAACACTACACACCTACTGACAAACACTATACATGGATACATGGATAAAGGGGTATGACCGCGTGAGGGACGGGCGCTGTGAAGATTTTTAGCACAGGGCACCTAAAGTCCTAAGGATGGCACTGAGTATATACAGTTTAGTAAATAAACCCCCAGCTGTCTGGCTTGGGCATCTCATATGAATAAATATTCCTATTAAACAAAAACCAAAAACGGTCTTCCAAGTGAAAATATATTTTTTTCAGGAAATGCAAAACGGTTTTAAAAAAACAGTTCAACTTGTTAATCTGGTTTCTTGTGTCCATCCTTTACTCTTAGAGGCCAATTTAAAATAACAAAATAAGTAAATAAATAAAAGGTGACTTGAATTAAACACATGACTGATATTGCACATGTTTATTTCTAGCACTCAAGGTAAATTAGTAGTCTTTGGATGAACATGGTATTATAAATATTTTGAGCTGTGTACTTACAAACTGTTAAAGTCACTTACTGTAGAGTAACATTTAATGAACCGAAAACCAATTTGCTAAATTTAGCTGCCACAGTTTGACTGTTTTCGTGTAATTTTTAGAAAAACAAAATTTAGAACATAAATGTCAAAGAAAACACAATATACAAAAAGTGAACAAAATAAATGTTAAATTACACTTTTTTTCCTTTAGATTTAAAGAATAAGTATGCTATTACCATTACTCAATGGTTCTTATTATGCCTTATTTTTTTAGGGGTCTTCAATAGCTCCCCCATCAGAAGCTATAAATACTTTGTGAGAGGAATAGAATGACCACAATAGTGTGTTTTTGTAAAAAGTACTAAAGGAATTTATTAAGAATAACACTCACAAGTGTAATTTAAAAAAAAGGCATCCAATATCTCGAACATCAACTATACGTTCTTTCGTAGTGAGTCTGTACTGAAATACATTATTATTATTATTACCATTTATATAGCGCCAACAGATTCCGTAGCGCTTTACAATATTACGAGAGGGGGAATTTAACTATAAATAGGACAAGAACAAGAAAACTTACAGGAACGATAGTTTGAAGAGGGCCCTGCTCAAACGAACTTACAGTCTATAGGATGACACTAGACAGTTAAAAACAAGTAAAAACAAATAAAAGTCCTACTTTCATCTGTACAAACTTCCTTGGAAAGAAAAGTCAAGGGTACAAATAATCCTTTCTCTCGCTCCTTAGCATTTGTATTACATCTGTCAATTTTATTATAGATTCACTACAACGGGTACTCAAATAGATTGTTGAGACGAGTCGGGGAAGATTACAATATCTTGTTTTGATGTAAATTCCTGAATTTTGGAGTGTTATTCTTAATCATTTTTTTTTGTACTTTATACTGAATTATACTATTGTAGTTGTTTTTTTTCCTTACACCATCGTTGTAATATCTTCTGGTCGAGAACCACATCAGGCATCATAAGAACCACAGAGTATTAAATATGCATACTTATTCTTGTACCTTTGTGAGTGTACTTTAACACTCACCTTTAATTAGTGTTACGTGCTAGCATCCTCTATAATGTTTAGAATCTCTACAGCGGAATTATCAAATGGTATATTTACAACAATGAAAGGCACAATTTTTCACATGCACTTACAAGGATCTAATTTATGAATGAACTTGAGTTTCCCCTGATGCTTTGGAGGCTGGCAAATATGTTTGAATTTGCGCATGCGTGAATGAGGATCTGTCATCTGACTTACCAGTAAATAGTAAATGCTACTAAATAGCTACTTGTACATAAGTATCTCAAAGGAGGACAAAAGAAAAATTTATTCTTAACTGTTTTGGTGTAAAAGACCATTGCACCATACATTGTCACTACCCCAAGGGATTGTCCAGGCACCTTAAACACTGCAGCATGGGGGTTACGATGACTGGACTGTCCTTTTAAATTGATAATCATATGTTGTTGTTTTTTTGACAAATGAAAGCATGCAGTGATTACAATAAGTAATAATTACAGGATTATAAAAATAAATAAAAACACATACAGAACACACCAATCAGGATGATTGTGCAGTCTATTCTGGTTGTGTTAGAAGTACTGATTCTAATAGGAAAGTGGGTGTCCTATTATTAAAGACATGCTTTGTGGTTACACAAACCGTATAAGATCTATTTATAAACACTGTTTAAAAAGGTCCACAGCGATTGTGTGTGCGCTTGTTGAACAAGAAAACTGGTGTTTTCTTCTCATCTATATGGCTTACAGATGTAATCACTCATCATGTGTCATTATGTAAATGTGTGTGGAGTTTATTATTCTTGATCTGACCTGTAATTCCTCACTGTAGATCGCACAATGAAGGCCTAGCATATGGAAAGCCAGACTGCAATGTCAATAGTACATGGCATTTTGGTTTTGTAACCTACAGAATTGTGAACATTTATAATATAAATGAAATGGCAACGTCTTCATGTAACTGGTGGGAATACATTTTTCAGATTTGAAAGTTCTGAGTGTTTTTTTGTCATATTACATGCAGTTCCCCAGACATGTCTGACTTCACATCAACTCTTGCTGAATTAAAACTTCTCTGTGATCTGTAGGCTGCATGAGAATTCTATGAGTTTTATTCCAACATGTGAGAAGCAGGGCCGCCATCAGAAATTTTGGGGCCCCTAACACAGCTCAAGGTCTGGGCCCCCCTTCAAGCCTGCCTCCAAATCCCGCCCACAGGAATACACACACACTAACAGATACAAATACTGAAACAGACATACACACATGCATAGGGAGATGCTGAGACACACACACATATACAAGCAGACATACATACTGACAAACATACATATACATACTGCATATTGATATATACATACATACCGACAGGCATACATACATACATACAGACACACACAGGCATGCATACAGACACACACTGGCATACACGCACTGGCATACATACACATACACTGGCATACATGGGCATACATACACACATGCACTGGCATACACACACACTGGCATTCATACACTGGCATACATACATACACATACACTGGCATCCACACACTGGCATACATACACACATACACTGGCATTCATACACACATGGCATACACTGGCATACACCGGCATACACACTGGCACACACATACACTGGCATACACAATGGCATACACACACTGGCATACATACACATACACTGGCATTCAGACACTGGCATACACACACATACACTGTCATTCATACACCAGCATACACACACACATACACTGGCATTCATACACACTGGCATTCAGACACACATACACTGGCATACACATACACTGGCATCCACACACTGGCATACATACACACATACACTGGCATTCATACACACATACACTGGCATACACACACTGGCATAAACTGGCATTCATACACCGGCATACACACTGGCACACACATACACTGGCATACACACTGGCACACACATACACTGGCATACACAATGGCATACACACACTGGCATTCAGACACCAGCATACACACACACATACACTGGCATTCATACACACTGGCATCCACACACTGGCATTCAGACACACATACACTGGCATTCAGACACTGGCATACACACATACACATACACTGGCATACATACACACATACACTGGCATTCATACACACATACACTGGCATACACACACTGGCATACACACACTGGCACACACACTGGCATACACACACTGGCATACATACACTGGCATTCAGACACTGGCATTCATACACCAGCATACACACACACAGACACTGGCATACACACATACACTTCCTCCCCAGCCACCCTCCTCTCTTCCTTACCATTTCGTCGCAGGAGGGTGGCTGGGGATGATGGGCATCGGCTGCCTCTCCTCAGGCTGCGTCCTCCTTCCCGCGCGGAGTAAAGTGGGAGGAAGTGACCGGACGTCACTTCCTCCCAGCAGCACTTGCTTCCGGCTGCATTTTTTTTTTTTAAAGGGGCCCGGTCGCGCTATTACAGCGCTAAACGGGCCCCTGAAGATAATAGGGCCCATTGGGTGGCCCTAAATGATTGGGGCCACCTGATGGGCCCCATCAGCGTGTGGGCCCCGGTGCAGATGCACCGGCGGCAGTTCCGCTGATCCACGTGGGGCCCGGGCGGCCAGGCCCCCCAGGGCTACCGGGCCCATGACAATTGTCACGGTTGTCATGCCCTGATGGCGGCCCTGGTGAGAAGATACAGTTTTACACCCTGCTGTAACACATCCAGATATGAGTTTCTCTTGCGAATTCCAAATAAAATGTTTATAATTTTTTCCAGTTTACACCACGTAAGTAAAACCTCTGGGACTCCTAGACTCTTTTTGTAAATGTGTATTTTCTTTGACTTGTTTTGGACCGGGTGGTAGTGGAAGATTTCATTTATTGGAGAAACTTCCTTCTCATATCCCCTCACAAGCAAAATTCTGTCTCATAATAACAAGGTTGACTGACAAACTAGACATAATAATCTGTTCCAGGAAGATGTGAGGATATGAAGAAGAGTGTGTGATGCAGATGTTGGATGTTATACCGCATCAATAGCTCACTGTACACATAGAGACATCTTGGTGTTTGTTTGTACAGTAAGTGGCCCCTCTAGCAGCAGATGGAGAATGAACTCATTTATAATATGTAGATACAGCATATTATTATATTATCACTGTAACAAATGAAATAGATCTTTTTTACCCATTAAAATACATTGTAATTAAAAAAGAGGTGATGATTACTGCTTTCTGTTATTCTATGCCAAAGGGGGCTGAATAAATTACAAGGGGATACCTAAGGCATTTCCCTTACAATGGGGACCTACAACCACTCTATAGGGGAGATTTATCAAAGTGTCACCGACACTTTTCCGTTCAATTTTTTATTTTTTGGTGCAATTTATTAACTCAGTCAGTTATTTTCACCTGTTGCTTTTTTTGTGTGCCCTGTCAATTTTAAATATAGTGAACCTTTAGGTAATCAGTATACTGAACCTTAAAGGACCACTATAGGCACCCAGACCACTTCAGCTCAATGAAGTGGTCTGGGTGACAGGTCCCTCTAGTTTTAACCCTGCAGGTGAAAACATAGCAGTTTCAGAGAAACTGTTATGTTTACACTAGGGTTAATCCAGCCTCTAGTGGCAGTCTCACTGACAGTGCTAGAGGCGCTTCCACGATTCTCAATATGAAAATCACAGTGAGAAGATGCTGGATGTGCATAGGAAAGCATTGAGTAATGCTTTCCTATGTGCTGTTTGAATGTGTGTGCGGCTCTTGCCGCGCATGCGCATTCGGATCTGACGTCGGCAGAGGGAGGAGAGTTCCCCAGCACAGAGGGAGCCTGGCAATGGAGAAAGGTAAGTGGCTAAAGGAGTTTTAACCCATTCAGCCCAGCGGGAGGGGGCCATGAGGGTGGGGACCTAATGACCCTATAGTGCCAGGAAAACAAGTTTGTTTTCCTGGCACTACAATGCTCCTTTAAGGAAAGCAAATACCTGTCTACATGCACTGACACTTCAGCTGATTTATATCACATTTATTTGCATTTTGCTCAAGATGTGTGCCTGAGACATTTTTAAAAGCTGCATTTTATGGTTAATTTAAAGAGGCAATTCTGTCTACTTGGCAGCTCTTAATAATTGCACGTAATTCACTGTTGCACCTTATCAATATACCGTTTTAATTTTTTTTTAAAAATGCAAATAAAATTAATAAATGTAATTGGAAATGCCTGGAAATTGCAGGCATAACAATAATATAAATATAAATATTTACCTATTTGAAAACTGCATAGGTACATATCTGTGTGTATATTTCTGCTTGTAATGTATTGTATTTGCATCTGTGAATACAGTAAGTGTATGCAGCTGTGTAAATGTGTACAGGGTTACAGATAATGTTAGAAGTGGTTAGGGTAAAGGAGGGTTTAGGGTGTGTGAGGGGCTAACATCAGAGTTTGTTTACATAGGATGTTTAGTTTAACCCCTTAAGGACCGAACTGTTTTTGTTGCGATGTTGTACATTTGCGACCAGGCCTCTTTTTACACTTTTGTGGTGTTCGTGTTTAGCTGTAATTTTCCGCTCTCTCATTTACTGTTCCCATACAAATTATATATTGTTTTTTTCAGGACAAAGGGGTCTTACTTTACATACCATTATTTATATAATTTCATGTAATTTAATTTTTTTTTAAATGACAAAAATATGATGAAAAATGGAAAAAAATACATGTTTTTTTACTTTTACGTGAAAAATCTTTTACTCATCTACAAAATCGAATGAAAAAACTGCTAAATAGATTCAAAATTTTGTCCTGAGTTTAAAAATACCCAGTGTTTACGTGCTTTTTTGCAATTTTTTTGCATGTTATAGGGCTATAAGTACAAGTAGGATATTGCGGTTTCAAAACATACATATTTAAAATTTATCAATAGTGACATTGTAACACTATTATCTGTCATAAATCTCTGAATAACACCCCACATGTACATAATTTTTTTAAAGTAGACAAGCCATGGTATTCAATATGGGGTATGTCCAGACTTTTTTAGTAGCCACTTAGTCGCAAACACTGGCCAAAGTTAGCGTTCATATTTGTTTGTGTGTGAAAAAAGTAAAAAACTAAATTGAATGCTAATTTTGGCCAGTGTTTGTGACTAAGTGGTTACTAAAACAGACTGGACATACCCCATTTGCAATACCTTGGGTTGTCTTCTTTTGCAAATGGTATGCCATCGTGGGGGTAACCAACCTGGCCATTTTCAATGTAAAAATATTTGACCCATATATTTGACCCCCAAAAACGCTATAAAACCTGTACATGGGGGGTACTGTTATACTCAGGAGACTTTGCTGAACACAAATAGTGTTTCAAAACTGGAAAACATATCACAACAATTATATCATCAGTAAAAGTGCTGTTTGTGTGTGAAAAATGCAGAAAAAGTCACTTTCACTGACAATATCATCACTGTGATATGTTTTACTGTTTTGAATCACTAATATTTGTGTTCAGCGAAGTCTCCCGAGTAAAACAGTACCCCCCATGTACAGGTTTTAGGGTGTCGTACAACGTTACAGGGTAAAATACAGTGCTAGCAAATTAAATTCTCTGGACTTTTGGCCTGGGTTGGCAGGCAGGTCCCTCAAATTGCAATCAATAAAATTACTTAATTATGAAAAAATATTACATAAATACGCACGTAGAATTTAAATATATAAGCATATTTATATATTTAAAGTCTACGTGTATATTTATATAATTATTTATGTAATTTTGTGTATGGACATATGTATTATTTTTATTTATTTATATATACATAGATGTATATACAATTTCATTCTAAGTGTATTTTGATATATATATATATATATATATATATATTAATATCAAAATACAGTTAGAATAAAATTTCATATAGACATAATTTTTTTAAATTTTTATTATTTTTACATTTTTTAATTTAATTTAAATTACTTATTTGTATTTTATAATAATATATATATACAATATATATAGTTATTATATATATTATATATACGTGTGAAATTTAATTATAAGTGTATTTTTATATTAATATATGTACATATTAATATAAAAATACACTTAGTATGACATAATATATATATGATATATAGACATATATTATATAGAAATATATGTCTATATATCATATATATATATATATATATATATACACATATATAATTTTTTTATTTATTTTTTACACATTCAGGGAGACTGCCTGTCAGCACAGGCAGACACATGGACACCTCTGTTGAGCGATCACATGGCCACAGGGGTCCTAATCCACTATGGGGCAGACTGTCTGGGCTGCAGGCAGTCTCCCCACAACTGGAGCAACACCGATCGCCGCCGGGGGAACGACGGCGATCGGGTAAGTACATTGGACCGTTAGGACGGTTCAGGACCGTCACCGGTTGGCAATGCAAAAATGCCGATGACGGTCCTGAACCGTCCTCGGTCCTTAAGGGGTTAAGAGGATTTAAAAGCTTCACTAAGGTTGCATTTGAGGTATAAGAAGTGCTTGGGGTTGCAGTTGAAGTGAATTTAATATTGGGTAAATAAGTTGTTCAGTTTTTTAAGAGGAGTTTAGCCTAACAATTAAAGGATACTAAAGTCACCAAAACAACTTAAGCTTAAAGGGACAATATAGGCATCAAAACAACTTTAGCTTAATGAAGCAGTTTTGGCATATATATCATGTCTCTGAAGTTGCACTGCTCAATTTTCTGCCATTTAGAAGTTAAATCACTATATTTCTGTTTAAACAGCCCTAGCCACACCTCTGGCTGTGACAAACACAGCCTGCATGAAAACAAAATGTGCTCATTTTCAAGAAGATGGGGTTAACTTGCTTTGGAAGTTTTATCTCCTGTTCTGTAAATTGAACTTGAATTACACACAGGAGGCTCCTGCAAGGTCTAGCAACCCAACAACAGAGCAGGAGATGATAAATCTTAAATTAAACAGCATTTGCAATAAAGGAAATGGAAACATTAGATGACTTTTTACATGAAGTGTTTAGGAAGGCTATATAAGTCACATGCAGGGAGGTGTGGCTAGGGCTGCGTAAATATAGTGATTCAACTCTGAAATAGCAGAGAATTAAGCAGTGAGGCTGCAGGGAATGATCTACATAACAAAACTGCTTCATTAAAGAAACACTATAGGGTCAGGAACACAAATGTGTATTCCTGACCTTATAGTATTAAATTAAATATTTAGGTGGCCGCCCTCTTTATTCCCTTTAAAAACATAGTTTACTTAACTTTATTCCAGGGCTGAATGGGTGTGCTGGCGCTGGCCCTGTCCTGATCCGCATTCTTGGATAAAATCACCAGAATTGATGATCTCACCCAATTACAATGCTTTCCGTAGGAAACCAATAGATATGCTAAAATAGTCAATTCTGATTATCTCAGCCAAGGAGGCAGGCCGGGGCAGAGCCAAACGCTTCCCTGGCTAATGGGCATCTCCTCATAGAGATGCATTGAATCAATGCATCTCTATGGGGAAAGTTCAGCATCTCCATGCAAAGCATGGAGACCCTGAATGTCAGTGCTGTTCACCGTGCAGCACTGACCCAGAAATACCTCTAGTGGCCATCTGAGGAGTGGCCATAGGAGGTGTCCTTGGGAGCAATGTAAACATTGCCTTTTTCCTCTCGAAAAGGCAGCGTTTACATTAAATAGCCTGCAGGGACAGGCTACAGACACAAGAAGACTACTTTAAGCATTAGTTGTTTTGGTGACTATAGTGTCCCTTTAAGGTAATTTTTTTTTTTTTTCAGGTTAAGGTCCCTAGTAATTAAATGTGGGACTAAGCAAGGGTTTTGTTTAGGGAGGGGGAAATGTAGGGTTAAAGATACATGGTGTTTAGAGCATGTGCAGCTTAAAGATATATTATTATTATTATTGAAAGCAATTGCCCTCTACTGGACATGACCTGTAGGCAGGTGCCTACACTGCCTAATGGGAACTCTAATTCAGTAGATACACATAAGGTGCCCTGTGACACATATGGGTACAAAGATATTATGGACAATGTGACAATACTAGGGCAAAATGATGCTGGATAATTGCTTGGGGGACTATAACTTTTGTGAGAGGTTTATGGCATTAACATGGAAATGTGTTACGTGGATTGGCTTGTAGCATAGATTATCAACACAGGGAAATACCTCTGCACTATAACCACTACAGTGAGCTGTTATGATCATGTTTCCAGGGCCGGACTTGCCCACCAGGATACCGGGAAATTTCTTTATGTATTCAGCAACCTGTATGTATTCAGCAGTCTGTGTGTGTGTCTATTCAGCAGTCTGTGTGTGTGTATTCCGCAGTCTGTGTGTGTGTATTCAGCAGGGTGTGTGCATTCAGAAGTGTGTGTGCATTCAGCAGACTGCGTGTGTACATTCAGCGGACTGTGTGTATGTTTGTGTGTGTATATTCAGCGGACTGTGTGTATGTGTTCAGCAGTCTGTGTGTATGTATTGCATTTGTTGGAGATACTAATAAATATAAGCTTAATTTTATCTATTTATATCATTATTTAAAATTTGTATCATTGTTGTCTTCTTTTAAAACAGAAGATGTTAATTAGTTTGGACAACTGTATGAGTTGTTTTTTCTAAACTTAAACCTCAGCATTCAGTTTTAATTGCTGTGTTGGCACTTTGAGGGAAAAAAAGTTGGCATGTATTGCGGTTTGGGCACTCGGGCTCAAAAAGGTTCGCCATCACTGTCCTAGAACTTCATTTTAGACTTCAAAGAACAAGTCAAATTTCCTTTTTGAAAGTCAGATGCACAGTAAAGCGGCACATTTTTTTAATGTAAGTGAAAGGACCAGATCTTATTTTTTGTTTTATAATAGCTGAGTCATTTTTGGAGGTGGGTTCCAAAACCTCAAAGGAAGAACAATTTTAACTCAGTGCTACATTTTTAGCATTCAATCTTCATTGTGCCTTCAACATCCTTGGAAAGACAATAGTATTTAATGGTCATTTAATATATACAAAAAAATGCACCCTATTTAGAATGTAAATATGAGGCAATTAGTTTAAATGAGCAGAGAGAATGTGGGCCATCTAGGGAGCTGTATACCATGTATTGCTTGTAGCAGGAATTCTTGCAAAGAATGCTGTGTCTCATTGTCACGTTAGCTTCTGAAAAAGGACCAGCAGACTATGAGAGGAGGGAGGAGGGAGGAGCACGGGGTATAGACTGAACTTTCAGGCCATTCATTGAGAGACAGGGAATGAAGGTGAAAGGAGTAGCATCAGTCGGTGCCTGTGTTAATTGATTACTCATTTTACACTGTCCTTGAAATACGTGGGAATTCAGAAAAAAAAACCACTTCTGGAAACTGTGTGGAACCCAGGGACACGAGGATCTAAACCCTGCCTGCTATATACGTTTAAATACGGAATATGATTCTTTAAAACTGGAAGCGAATGGCTGGTTAGAAGACAGAGGAATTTGGTGGACTTGGTAGCCTGTGGTTACATCGACTACAAAAAGACATTGACCTGGGTAAGAAAAATGTAGCCACTGACTTAACGACATTATTGTTATTTTTTATATAGAAGTAAGCACTGTTATGAATATAGAGAATTTTTTTTTATTAAGAATACAGTGTATTGTAGGTATAGGACAAAAGACACTTTATTAAAAGATGCGCTAAAAAAATGTGAAATTGGTGGGGGATAACCACGGACGCTGTGTTTCTATTTCAACCTTCTGCAGATTTTAAGTGACAAATAGGTTCTTTACTGTAGATGCGCGTGGTTAGCAAACGTGGATATCACTTGCAGGACTGTTCAAGTTGTGATCTTTTACACCAGTTTTGTGAGTTTTACACTTTTTAGATTGTAGTAAATTCTCCATATATACTTTGTTTAACCCACTCTGTTGCAGGTCATGGCATCTGTTTTGTGCCACAAACGCTTCAACAATCTGCCCAGTTTTTTTATGATATCCCCTATGGAACAGAATAGGATAATCCCTAAATACTAAAAGCACTAGTCTAGACCATATTGTCCATCTCATCTAGAGTAATGAATCGTAACCTTTGGTACTCCAGCTGTAGAGGACTATATTTCCCACGATGCTCAGCCAGCTGAATGGGCAGCACAGCTCATTTGAGTTCCAAAGGTGCAATCACTGACTTAGAGTGTAAGCTCTGTGGGTCAGGAGCCTCTGCTCCAAAGTTTTATAATTGTATCATGCTCCTTGGACCTTTGAAATTCTATATTGCAATGCCATTGTAAAATGTGTAGACAATTAGTGATGCAGTATTCTGAGAAGCTTGCACTTGATTTTCTTTTTGATTTAGATAAAATCCCTGTTTCTATACAGGTTTGCGGTTTGTCTGTTTCTTGCTATGACTGAGAGCGTATTCATTTCTTTAACGAATACCAAGTGTATCGCATGCTAATGGAACACTTTCCTCTTTCATGTCATTTTCTTTTGCACCATTTGTCTGTCAACAGTTCTCATTATCCATATCGGATGGTCGGACTTGTGGTCCACCGATAACTGCAAGTTACCATTCCTGCTTATGTTCTCTGTGAAAATAAAATATAATTGGAAAATCCAATTTTGGTCTTTTTTTTTTTTTCACAAAACTGATTTGTGGTCAATCGAAAACCATTTCAACATTCTATATTCAGAACTTGGTCGTTTTTGTTGTTTGTTTATTTTAATTAAGGCTTTACCTTACCTCATTTCACGTTTTAGTAAATAAAAAAATAAACAACTTTAGATTTTTCGCTAAACCAAGATTTATAGAAAATATGCACAATGACAATGTATCTTGTCATAGACATGACATCCTCTCCTTGGTTAGAATGTAGAAAGGAGAACTTGCTCACAATAGAAGATATTGATACCTTTATCTTTATGACACATGTATTGGATATCCTAATTTGAAGGTTAGAAACCTGTTTTCTTGATAACAATTTTAGGAAGTGGTGTACTTACCGACTAGCAAGTTTTAGAATTGTTTTGTACACTTGACTCTGGAAATTGTAGTTCCTACAGCAGACTGTTATTTTAGTGCTGCGCCTATGTTGCAGACTAGGGGTGACCAAAGGACTCACACCCAGATGTTATTCTAACCACATCTGACACAATTCTTTGTCAACCTTGTTTTGCCCATTCCTGTTTTACAAACATTGCATTTCAGATATATGAGAGGGTCATAACCAACCAATTGAATATAGACAATGGATACTGTGCATAATCTTCAAACTCTCTCAATTTCCAATTTGTGCGTAATTCTTTCTCTTGTCCAATTGTCAAATTCCCCTTCTCCAGATTATTCTAAACAAATAATCATAACAGGTATGCACACTGCTGTGAATTAATAAGAAAAAAAAAAACAATCAATACATTTATTTTTTTATATGATTGTAATCCACTTGCAACCCTCTGCCTTCCTTAAAATGTGAAAAAAAGTAAATTTTAAGGCATCTCCTGGTATCGACTGCAACTCCTATGATGCTCATCTAGAATGATAGCTGACTGGCACCATGGGAGTTAAGGGCCCCATACATAGAATGCCATCTTTGGACCTGAGTCAGAATCAACATTCTCACTTCAAGTATATAAGAAAGTATATACTTAGTAAGCTTGGGATCAGTTACATTATCTCAATGAATAAATGTAATAATGTGTATTAAGAAAAATAGACCACCAGCTGTAGTAGGATTGCAACTCCCATAAATCTTAGCTGCCTTTTGTGGCTCCTGGAACATGTATTTGAGTGACAGTTGGAAGTTAATAAATAACTAAGGAATCAAAAAAAGACAATCTACATAACTTGCTCTCATATCATTTCTTGTCACCCTGTTTCTACATCCCCCCAGCCCACCTTTTTTAAATATGTTTTTGCTCCGCTATGAGTTCTGGTATACATTACAGAATTTCACGTATCACCAAACTGATGTACCTTGTCCATGCTACGCTAATTTCCTCCTTTCCAGTACAAGACATTTCTTTTACTGGATGTTCAGAACATACCTTGCGCAAAACACTTACCCCATGCAGTTTCCTGGAGAGAAATGTACATTGACTGATTTCACACCACTACTGAAAACAGTGTAAGACATAAAGCTTGCTAGTGTGCTTCTAACAAAGAGTGAACGCTTGAACAACGCTAAAATGTAAGAGAAGGGGGTGAAATGGAGAGCTAGCACAAGTATTTATCCTTTGGCTGCCTTATTGTCAGTTTTCTATTTTGTTAATCTGGTACCCATGCAGTATAATACATTGAGTTCTACAGGTTTGGACAGCAAATAGTAGCTCATCCCCCTTATACACTTTGTTAAATTTTAGAGGTGCATTAAATGATAAATGTTGTTATAATTTTGAACTAAAATACCTGATAAGAGGGTAATTAAAATGTTTGTTGCAATAACATCACTTTAATGTGCATCTTGTTAAAAAAAATGAAATATTCCTTTGAAATTAAAATAAACACAAATAAATCAATTTTAATATGTCACTTGCTTTGTTTTAGGAAGAATTACATTTCGTGCTGGTACCTTGGCCCATTTTCTTTACAAAAGCACACCATCTAGAGACAATCTGGTGGAACTACAGCAACCATGACTCCAACCATGTTTCCTACCAAAAAGAGTTATTACAACCACGACATCATCGTCAGACATTACAACTACACAGGGAAATATAAAAGCAATTTAAATAATGACATCAAATTATCATCCATAATCTTCATTATCATCTGCTGCTTCATCGTGCTCGAGAATATCCTGGTTCTTCTTACCATCTGGAGAACCAAGAAGTTTCATCGACCCATGTACTATTTCATTGGCAACTTGGCTCTCTCGGATCTCCTGGCTGGAGCTGCTTACACTGCCAACATTCTGCTCTCTGGATCAAACACTTACAACCTTACACCAGTTCAATGGTTGGTACGAGAAGGGAGTATGTTTGTGGCCCTCTCTGCTTCAGTGTTCAGCCTCCTAGCCATCGCCATTGAACGCTACATTACAATGTTAAAAATGAAGCCGCACAATGGCAGCAAGAGCTCTAGGTCCTTTGGCCTCATCAGTATTTGTTGGCTTCTATCTCTGTTTCTTGGTTTTCTGCCCATCATGGGTTGGAATTGCATTCCTGACATGGATTACTGCTCAACTGTACTTCCATTATATCATAAACATTACATTCTCTTCTGCACAACTGTTTTCTGCATTCTTTTAATGGCTATTGTGGTTCTGTATGCCAGAATTTATTTCTTGGTAAGAACACGCAGCAGGAGCCTAACCTTTAGGAGGAACTTTGCCAGAACCAGCAGGAGCTCAGAAAAGTCCATGGCATTACTCAAAACAGTCATTATTGTCCTCAGTGCATTTATTCTCTGCTGGTCCCCTCTCTTCATCTTTCTTTTGCTTGATTTTGGATGTAAGGTTAGAGCTTGCCCTGTTTTGTTCAAAGCCGAGTACTTTTTGTCTCTTGCAGTTCTCAATTCTGCAACAAACCCTATTATCTACACTCTTACTAACAGAGAGATGAGAAGGGCTTTCCTAAAAATGGCCTGTTGCTGTCAATGCCCAGTTTTTAACAGTGGAGCAAAAGTCAAAAAGCCCATTATTACAGGAATGGAGTTCAGCAGGAGTAAGTCAGATAATTCTTCCCACCCGCAGAAGGACGAAGGGGAATACCCTGTGACCCTTATGTCTTCTGGAAATCTGACCTCCTCTTCCTAGGACTTGTGAAGACTGGAATTGGATATACCTTGTTGCAGTTATGCAAGAACATAAAGGGAAAAATCATCTCCTTCGTAATCTGGATAATGCATGGGCATTTGGATTCCAGAAAAGATAGCATTAGTTCTGAGTGGAGATGCAAAGCACCTCAAGGAAGATCTGATAATGAGTAGTGGAACTATAAAGACTTTGTTGTTACTCATGGAACAATTGGTCTACTGAGAGCACGTGCTTGGATGGAATGGGGATTTAAAAAAAAAAAATATTTACATAGACAATTTGAAGTGCTTTGGTGTGGGAGTGAAAATACACCTAATCCTATGTGCGGCTCTTTAATGTGATTTGCTTAGCATCACTTACCCAAAGCCACTAGGATACAACATTTCTATACTGATTTATAGAATATGACTTTCTTGGAAAGATGTAATGAAAATATGGGTTCTCCTTTAATCCGTGGGTCAACATTCTCTATTTTGTTCCTATAGAAGAGTATCCACTGATATCTGTAAAAGAAATGGCTTGCGGCTTTAGAGCAGATGGTAGTTACTGAAAGTTAGAACTTGGACCCTCAATGGGTTACAACCAAGTAGGAGACAGATTAGTTTCCTGGCCCACACATATTACATATTTTAGTAGGTTCTTCGTAGAGCAAACATACGTTGACGTGGGACAATAAATGATGTCTGGCCAAGAGTAACTAAGATAAACGTAACCACACAACTATTGTATTTGAATAAATTAATTAGATTTGCCATCTTTTATTTACCCCATGCTATAAATGTAATTTCCTCTATGTATCTACTTATAATTGAATTCCTTATGGTAGAACTGATGGAAAAATCATTAAGCAGAATAATGTAAAAAGAGGAGAGCCTTCACTCCAGTGAAAGAATCTCTCCACCTCCCATATTCTCTCTCTTCTATATGTAAAATATAAAATACGCTAACAAAACATAGGAACATGATTATTTTTTTCTCACATGAGTTATTTTTGTTAAAGCCAGCAAATATTTTTTTTTATCTGATAAAGTCCATATCCAGGGAATTAGAGTTCTTCTAGATGATATTAGGTGCCATCTCCCATGGTACCCTACAACTCTTAAACTGTAGCACCCATCATTAAGCATTTTTGCTACTTATAGAACATTTTAAAAATGATCCTAGTACGTAAAGTGGAATGAATCTTTATTAAACTGGTCTAAAAGAAAGCTTTCCTATAACTAGCTATCTAGAAATAACACGGTTAATTCAGTAACATTAATTAACCAACTAATTAGGCAACTTAACGCCCCAGCGGTGAGAATTGCAGAGATGAATTTATTTATTTATGTTTTTTATTGATGAGACACTTTTTTTGAACAGACTTTAATGTAAATCTTCTGTTGCAATGCATTGCTGCCAAACGCATTTTTACAACATTCTCTTTTAACAGCTGCCATTGGGCCATACAATCTTACAATAAAATATTCAATTTGAAAGAGTTTGCAACGAGCTGGATTAAGAGGTGATCAGTGTTGCAGAATGTGTGGGTCATAATTATTTTCTTACAGAGAATAATTTTAGAAACGATGGGCAAAGCTGATCTGTTTCTAATAACTGAGGTTACACGAGGATACTGATTATCTTCGAAAAGATGTTTGTTGCAAAATTTAATTTTGAGCTGTGTTTTGTTTTGATATATTTGCAAGCAACTTTCAAATATTTGACCTTTATCAATGGCAGCCACAATTTTCCAGGCACTTGTTTTGGCACTTATTTACTTACTGGCACTGCCAAGCTTAAAGAACATGGCACCTTCTGGTATATCATTGTTCCATTATGGGTAAGCATAGTTTGCCAAACCCATTTTAACGTAAACAGAAGAGGTGTGCCAAGTTTTTTAGCTTGGTATATGGGATTGGAGTGGAAGAGGTGGTCTGAAATTGAGCAAACTGGCAAGCAGTGCATCTATCAGTAACCTTTCGGCAATAATGCAACTATCTGTGAATGTAAACGATAAAACAAAGTGTTATTAATTAAACCCAAAGAAACTGGGAAAGCCATTTCTTTGTGGTTGCAAAGCTGTGTTGTTCTAAACGCAAATTGTTGTTTTTTGCAAATGGTTTCCAAGTAGCTATTTGTGAAGCACGACTATTTCTACTTGTCACCTTTTTGTAGTATTTTTTTTTTTATCAGTGCAATTAATTTTTATTTTATTTAGTATTTAAAATGTTCCTGACTTTTCTTTGTTGAATTTGCACATAGTGAATTTGTATTTAAAATTTAAACCTAATAAAACTGATTTTTTTTTTTTTTATAAGTAAATCTGTGTTTGTGTCTCACTCATTAATTATTTTAGAAGACGTCACTTGTACGGATGGAGAAATCACGCCCTTCCAAAAAAATACTTCCTCATATGGCTGGAATAAGAGATTCAGGACATCAGGAAGTTTCAGGAAATACCATCTGCACTAGAATAACAAGACAGGAAATCTCTAGAGAGGAGCGAACACATTCACATACATCTTAAGCAGTAGTTAAACAATTTTAAACACTTTAGCATTCAACAAACACTTACTTCGTGCCAGTGAATGTTCTCAACGGGATGTTGTGGTAGAGCAACCCTACTTAGCATACAACACTTTTAGAAGATGAAAAAAAGAAAGAAAATTATTTACTTGTCCAATCCAATATAAAGCAGACAGCTAGAATCAGGGCCGGTGCAAGGATTTTTAGTACACAGGCAAAGATGATTTTGGCGCCCCACCCCTCCACCCACCCAAAAGCATCTCCACCTTTTTTAAATGTCTTACCCCCTTTAGTGTATCTTATCCCTTATTTTTTCCCATTGTGTGTCTTACACCTCCCTTGTGTATCCCTTACAACCCCCCTCTGTGCGTCTTACTCCCCCAGCCCCCTTGTGTGTCTCCTTCTCTCCCAGTCCCTTTGTGTCATTTACTCTTACCAGCTCCTTTGCGTCTTTCTCTTTCACCACCAGCCTGTCCATCTCCACCAGACACTCTGTGTCTCTTTTTAACTCTTCTCCTGCCCCTCTGTGTCTCTTTCACCCCCAGCCACCTTGTATTTCCACGCCCAGGCCCTTCTGTGTGTCGCTTTCATTCCCAGCCCCTCTGTGAACTTTCTCACCCTCAGGCCCATCTGTGTGTCTCCCCGCTCCTCATGTCCCTCTGTGTGTCTTTCTCCCCACTCAGGCTCCCCCTGGGGTTCCTCCTTCCTCCCCTCCATGTCCATTAGTGTTCCTCTCCCCCCTTGCTTGTCTTAGTGCCCCGCCCATTCCCTTTAATGTTCCTCTCCCTTCTCTTTTAGTGGTCGCCCCCTACCCCAGTGTTCTTTTCCCTTCCTTTCCCTGTACTTTAGTGCCCTCCCTTAATGTTCCTCTCTCTCTCCCCTAGTGTTCCCCTCCCTCCCTCTTTTTTAGTGTTCTTTCCCTCCGTAATGTTTTTTCCCCCCTCCCTCATAGTGTTCTTTCCCCCCCTCCCCTTTCCCAGTGTGTTCTTACCCCCCATCCCATAGTGTTTCCCCCCTGTCCCAGTGTGTTCTTTCCCCCTCCCTCATGTTCTTCCCTCCCTCATAGTGTTCTTCCCCTCCCTCCTTTTCCCGTGTTTCTTACCCCCGCCCCATAGTGTTTTCCCTCCCTGTCCCAGTGTGTTCTTTCCCCCCTCATAGTGTTCTTCCCCTCCTCCTTCCCTCCCTCCCCCCCCAGTGTTTCCCTCCTCATAGTGTTCTTTCCCCTTCCCTGTCCCAGTGTGTTCTTACCCCCCCGTCCCATAGTGTTTTTCCCCCTATTAATTATTTTCTTATTTGAAAGGATATCTTTATTAACTAGTATTTACTTTTCAAAGTATCTTTAATACAGTTGTTTATGTTTACTATCAGGACTCATTTTGAGTTTAAGACAATAGATCCAGGACAGAACCCGATTAATGTAATGTATTTCTATATAAAAACAAACTCTACATTGTTTCAACTCACATTGCATTTTCCTGGAACCTAACTTGATGTAAATTTGGTGACGGTCTGTACAAACTAAGAATACTGAAGCAAAACTACTGTATGTAAAAGATCTGCAAACAACAAGTCTCAGGCTGTTTGTACATCACAAGTGTGGGTCATAGACTTTGTGATCAAAGAAGAGAGGAGTTAATCGGTCACACTATGCACAAAGTCACATATTTCCCATGATACAAGAGCAGTTTACTTTAACTCACACTGACACTAGCACACCCTTGTGACTTTTATACATACACTTGTCTCATTCTTTTTTGTGTTTGTGACGTAGAGTGACAGGAAGGAATTGTTTGTGATATATAGACTGAAACATCGATTTAGTGTCAGGACTAGGAATAAACTCACACCTAGAAATTATTTAAAAAAAAGTAAAAAAAATAAATAAAACCAATACAATTTTCTTTACAACATTGAAGAACGATTGTGATGAGGGCTGGGAAATCAGTGCATGTAAATGGGCGGAATGTAACATACCTATCCCTAGAAGGCAAGCTAGCTCAGTATGCAATCCCAATCTATTTTACATAGTTACACAGTTACATAGGCTGAAAAGAGACAGGTGTCCATCAAGTTCAGCCTTCCTCACATCTGTTTTTTGCTGTTGATCTAAAAGAAGGCAACAACAAAAAACCAAAAAAAACGTTTGAAGCACTTCCAATGAATATTTGAAATAAGAAATGCCCTATTTATGTCACAACTTTAATATCTGACATGGGGGGGTGGGGGCGGGGAAGGAGGAGGAGGGGGTTTACTAAATTCCAATTGCCATACAAAGTGAACAGCAAAGTCCAGACACTGCGTACATTATTTAAGTGAAATATTGGCTCGGAATGAGCCCGAATTTTGACTGGATTTCAGCCTGTCTGGACTTGACAGAAAGGCTGATATCTGATTCCAAATGCTCGAAATATGGGCCTGGATTGGTAAAATTATGGATCGCCCCTTCCTGATATAATCTTTATAAAAAAACTCGTCTTAACTGTTTTAACAATTCAGAAATTCCAACCCAATCAAGAGATATAATGAGACAAATTAGGGACCACTTTGTCTCTGTATTTCTCCTCTGCCTGACTCTCTGATACTCAGGGTGGAGTCTAAGTGTCAATCTCCCCAGCTGTCAGCAGTAATGGGAATTGGCAGAGTCTATGCTCGCGGGCTATCCCAAAGAACTCAATGCTGTACTCTTGCACATGCTCGAGAGTATAGGAGTGACATTGGCTTCAGGTGGTGAAGTGCCAGGAGTTGGTTAAGAGCAGGCCACCTTACCCAGGGCCGGCGCTTCCTATAAGGCGAACTAGGGCGCCATATAGGAGGGGGCGCCCTGCGCCCCCATCGCCGGCCCTTTAAAAATGCCACAGCCGCCTGAGCACTCTACACTGCCTCACCTCAACTGCCCTGTAGCGTGGTCAAGCTCCTTTCCGGTCCGCGACCCGGCCGGACTGACAGGAAATGCACACTGAGTGTGCACTTCCTGTCAGTCCCGCCGGGTCACGGACCGGATAGGAGCTCGGCCACGCTACAGGTAAGGGGAGGTGAGGAGATGATTACAGGGAGGGAAGGGGAGAGAAGATTATAGGGGAGGGGGGAGAAGATTATAGGGGAGGGGGGAGAGATTATAGGGGAGAAGATTATAGGGGGGAGAAGATTATAGAGGGGGAGAAGATTAGAGGAGGGGGGAGAAGATTATAGGGGAGAAGATTATAGGGAGGGGAGAAGAAGAAGATTACAGGGGGGGGAGAAGAAGAGAAGATTACGGGGAGAAGAAGAGATTACAGGGAGGGAAGGGGGGAGAAGAAGAGAAGGGGAGGGGAGAAGATTACAGGGAGGGGGGAGAAGAAGAGATTACAGGGATGGGGGAGAAGAAGAGGAGAACACAGGGAGGGGGGAATAAGAGGAGAACACGGGGGGAGAAGAAGAGGAGAACATGGGGGTGGGAGATGAGAACGTAGGGGAGGGAGAGACTACTAGAGGAGGGAGGGGGCGGTGGAGAGACCACTAGGGGAGGGGTGTGACGAGAGACCGCTAAGGGAGGGGGGTGGAGGATAGACCACTAGGGGAGGGTGGGGGGAGAGGAGAGACCACTAATGAAAAGTCGGGGAGAAAAGGAGACCACTAATGGAGGTGGGGGGGGGGAGAGGAGAGACCACTAAGGGGCAGGGGAGATCTCTAAGGAATGGAAGGGAAAGCTCTATAGGACAGGGGGCAGGACAGGGAGCTCTTTCACACCACGCGCGCGCGCGCACACATACACACAATGCATCCCTATACACACAGAAACACAACATGCTTCCCTTACACACAGAGAAACACACAATGCAACCCTTACACATAAAGACAATGCATCCTTTTCACATATACACAGAAACACACAATGCATCCCTTACACACACATGCAAACACATACTGCTTCTCTTACACACACAGAAACACAATGCATTTCTTACGCACACTCAACACACCCCTTACAGACACAGACACTGCATCCCTTACATACACAGAAACACACTTTGCATCCCTTATGCATACAAACACAGATTCACACAATGCATCCCTTACACACAACAAGAAATACACAATACATCCCTTATACACAAACACTTACTGCTTTCTATCCCTTACACAAAAACACACTGCTTCCACTACACACAAACACACTGCATCACCTACACAAACTGGTATCCCTATACACTACATTCCATAAGCACACACATTATATCCTCTACAGTAACACATACACATCCCCTAAACACTCTACTCCCTGTGAGCGAACTCACGGGTGGAACATGTAGGTCGACTTATGGGTGGGCTTTATGGGCATACTCACAGTCAGGCCCTGGGGCCCAGACCTTGAGCTATGTAAGAGGCCCCAAAAAATGGAGCTGCTTCCCGTTCTCCCAGAACATTGAATTTTGTGACCACAGTTACAAACAGCCTCCAGAGATCCTGTTCTACACCAGACCAGTGGAGCCAGACTGCAGCCAGAGCCCATCACCATCCTCATCTGATTGTAAGTAGTCAATCTAGTATATTATTAGTGACACTAATCTCTAATTTACCTCACATTAAATGGACACTATAGTCCCCAGAACCACTGCAGCTTAATAAAGTTGTTCTGGTGTCTATAGTTTGTCCCTGCAGGCTTTTTAATGTAAACACACACTGTGTGCAGCACTGGCACTAGTTCATATGGCAGATCATATGGGTGGGGCATTGCGATGTCCCGGGGGGGGGGAGGGGGGCAGCAAATCTTTCTTTTGCCTAGGG